ACCCTGCACAGTCAACTGTATGAGGGATATACATAAATGAAAAAGGATGCAGCGGCTTGACGCCGCCCATCGAAGATAGGTCCCACTTATTGGTGAGTTTCGGCGCTAAAATATAAGCGGTTGGGGAATGTAGCCTGTGGGAATACCGCTGCCTATCAATACTGTGGATTGTGTAGGTTGGAGATATACAAATCATCAACATTCAGTATATTTTCATGACCAAGATCACTGGTAGAAAGAGACCAGTGTGTTTGATGCTTTCATCCCATTACAAGCATTAATCAAGACAAGTGGCTTCAGCCACGCCCTTCGGAAATTTCTGGGAAGCTCTCCAGATTTTTCTTGTTACAAAAATTATTTAGAAAGTTGAAAGGCAACTGGACTTATTCTTACGGTCATTTCGTCAATAACACGCGGAGATTCCCACTTGGATTCGTAGCAGGTGATAAGCTACTATCGATAAGCAGGGTCTTAGACAACTTGAAGCGTTGTTTTAACTAATTTAAGGTTTTTCGCTGTACTAAGGCCAAAAACTGGGGCTATCGACGGTTCCATTAGCTGCCAGATGAATTCTGCCTGTTACAATGCATTACAGCTATCTGCCTACTACAAGGATAATTATAGAGTCAAGAAATATGTGGATGATAGTTCTTTCGCAGTCTAATGCTTGACTAAATAAGTAAACACAGGCAAATAGATAAGCAATGTGTAAGAAAATTGCGTGCAACAACCTCGACGGATATCTGATCACAATAATTCAAAAACCCCAAATTAGTACCAAAATTACCTGACTTGGGCGCCTTGAGGGAGGCTCATAATCGAAGACAGTCGTTTGTCCGTATCGCGCATGGAAACGTGGTAATCTGCGCATTACAGTGTATTTGATGCACATCCATAAGAATATCACGCAGAGTCCAAACAAGACTATACCGATGATCAGAGAGACTGAAAATGTCGAACATATTATGTGTCAGCCGATGAAATTCAGATGAGAAGGATTCCGAAGCAACCAACACAAGCGCCCCAGAGAAAACTGATGCACTTCTCTCATACTGCTCGTGATCGCTACAAGTGACAATGAGAACAAGAAAATGAGAGCCACAAGCGAGGCGAAATATTGCCACCAATATCTTTCAAAATAGTCTCGCAAAGATCCATACTAAAGTAATTTTTACTTCAGAGTAGGCTAAATGAAAAAAATCACTGACCTCGACGTACTGGTAGGAGGCACCACATATTTCGCATACTTTGGTTGTCTGCAAGCGCTCTACCATGCATCCATGATGGCAAACAACGCTAGAAAAATTTTCTGGTAACAGAAACAAGAAAGTCAATTATTTTTAAAAAGTCTAAACTTACTCGCAAAAACATGGACGTATCATTTTGTTGTCTAGCCGAAAGCCAGACTGAAACTTCGTTGATGAGGTTCCGCATATAAAACATACTTGGGTAAGTTCATCACATAGCTTTACGGCCGACATCTCTCGTGGTTTTCGTAGCTGAAAAAAAAACAGATTTAATTAGGAAATGAAGCAAAAATATGGACTTACCGGATGTTGCCAGATTTTCCCACATTCAGCACATTTACGAGGTGAAGACTGCCCATCTTTCAAAGCACAGCGAATGTGAACTTCACTTGAGAAGGAATATTAATGGGATTTAAGCCACTGATTACCACAGCCCGAGAAATTTATTTTTTTGGGAGAGTCACCACAAGTCTTCCCGCATGAAGGTAAAAAAACAACTGGAATGCTTTTCAGTATTTTCGCGGGCCCATCCCGAAACTGTTAAAGGGACGTGGAAGCCACGCCCATGGAAAAAAAGGAGTCTACCATATTCTTTCAAATTATAGTAACTTACACAGCTTCGCAGTCACATGGTTTGAAGCGGTCTTTAGTAATAAGTATTATATCTCCACAAAGAGGACATCGTCGTTCTTGCAGTCGTGGATCGTCACCTTGTGAGATAGACTGCGCTGTCAATGTGGAAGCTGACTTGACGAGCGTGGACGACTCCGGTATGCCAGATTCCTGCTGGAGGAAAATAAATAAAAGCAGCCCAATCAGCAAAAGAAAGGAAAGAAAACTACAATCAAACAAAAACGTTTCTCATAAGCACAGATATTTATAGTATCAAGTCGTAACATAAGTTGTTCACTTCGTTTTCCTCAACGCTTTGGAAAATCTAGCAAACTATAATATTTGACACATATAAGGACTGGGCAAAGAACTATCCATTCGCACCACTTTCACATTCACAGCAGTGGCGTACCGAGGGAGGCCCTTCCCCCTCCTCCCCCGGAGAGAATCGCGAAATTTTTTGAAAGCTATCACATGACTTTAAAAAATCTGCGGATTTCTTCATACTTGTAAAGGATTAAAATAATTTTGAATATTTCCTAAAAATCCAATTTAGCCCC